GGCACTCCGGTCGGCCGAATGCGTGATCGGTCGATGCCCATGGCATCGAGCGTTTCATCGTACATGATGTTGAGGTCGCTGCCTCTATCCATCAGTACCTTGGTGAGCCGCTTCGTGCCGATGATTGGGTTGACCACAAGTGGATATCTCCCCAGTTGTGGGCCACTCTCCGGATGGTCGGTCCGATCAAAGGTTATGGCGGACTTCGACCATTAGAGGAAGGTAAGCGTGGCCGTATAGACCCTGTGGCGCGTGAGCTTCTGGCGGCGCTTGGAGTCATAGGTCACCGACCCTCTGAAGATCATGAGGCAGCCATCCAGTGTCGGAAAGTTGCCGTCCTTCCCCTCGGCATGGTCCACGGTTGGCTTAGGGTCCTTCCCATGTTCCCCCTTATTGAAGCTTCCGAATAAGAACCGCTACATGAGGCCGCAGTCCTTGTATAGGTGCCCGACGGGGAAAGCATTGTTCGGGCATGGCCCATCAAGCAGCTTCTCAAAGTGGTCCGAGGTACCCTCGGCGGGCTTCCGACCCCCCTTACGGTCGGCGACGGACACGAGCGAGCCCCCGCGCTGCTGCTTGTTCTTCTTCTTGCTAGGACGGTTGGAGGCGCCTTCACTAGCGTCCTTGTCCCGCTTTGCCTTGCCCTTGAGGCGGTCGAAGATCGCTCCGATCGCCGCCTTGCCCGAGGCATGGCTGGTGGTGATGTTGAGGAGCTCCTTGGTGGTTCACAGGACCTTACATCCTAGCTTATGGACCAGGGACTCATAGGTGGTCCTAGACAGGAAAGCTCCTATGACGTCGGCATCGGCGACGTTAGGTAGCTCGTTGCACTGTCGGGAGAAGCGTCGGATGTACCCACGAAGGGTTTCCCCGGCCTTCTGTCGGTAGTTTTTGAGATCCCATGGGTTCCTAGGATGCTTGTATGTGCCCTAGAAGTTTCTCATGAAGATCTCTTTCAGGTCCACCCAACTTTAGATTCTGTTGGGCAGAAGGTGTTCCAACCATGTTCGTGCCGAATTGGCCAGGAACAATGGAAGGTTGTGGATAATGAAATTGTCATTATTCGCTACACCGGCTTGGCAAGCAAGCTAATAATCCTCGGGCCATAGTCTGAGGTTCGTTAGCCCAGAGTATTTCGGGATGTTGGTTGGTGGTCAGTACCATGGCGGGAAAGCGGTGTTGAGGATGTGTCGGCCGAAGGCCTGAGGTCCCAGCAAGCCGGGGCTCGGGCTTCGGTCCTCGCCGCTGTCGTAGCGTACGCAACAATGAGGGAGGTAGCCACGGCTAGCTCTCTCCCTTGGATTGTCGCGGGCACGCCTATGGGGGTCGAGGGTGTCGTGCGCGTCACGGTTGCGGCCGAGACGCTCATGCACCGGAACCACGGTGCGTAGCCTACCCCCTTGTGGCGCCTGGTGGACTAACGCATTCTTGTCGAGTCGCTCTGAGGGCGTGCGCTGGCTGGCATCGAGCTCGCATCATCGAGACAGCGAGCTCTCGACCTGCTGTGCCGCCGCACGCTCGAGTATCGTGCGAATCTCGCGTTGGGCCCCTACGGTCTTCGGGCGTCGCGGGCCCTGGGAGCCCCCAGAGCAAGGCCGTCGTAGCAGCGATGTTCTGGCTCGCTCGAGTGAAGTGTGGGAGGGCTTCATCGTCCTCGATGATCCTTCGGTTCACGTCGCTAGCCATGGCGCGCGCGCCCATCGTCTCCGTGGCGCTCGATCTCTCGCTCGAGCTCTACGCGTTCCTGTTCGAGCTAGAGTCACGCTTCCTCGAGCTCTTAGTGTTGGGCATTCAGCTGCTCCACCCACAGGCGAGGTGGGGCCCTTGCATCCCCTCGACCACATCGTTGAGGTCGTTCGTTGGGGTAGCCTCTTCCTTGTGGATGCTTTTGATGTGTCCCTTGGGGGTACCTGCCATGAACATTCATGAGAGGGGTGATGGCTCTCCCTACTGGAGTCAGAGGTGGAGGGCGACTCCGTTTCGCCCACAAGGAGGTCACGAAAAGACTCCGCGACATATTCGGTCATCCCCACGAACTCGTCGTTCGTGGGGGATGGAGGCGTGTGTTGTGCCACAAGGTGGCCAATGGTCTCTGTGGCGTTGTGGGGACCAAACAGGAGCGTTGTCACGGCGCTCTGGATGAGGTATTCCGGGGAGAGAGGCTCTCCTCCGGCAAGCTACACCATGATATTGGCGAACGAGAAGGTGAGGTGGCATAGGTCCTCCCAGGACGGTTGGGGTCCCAGGAAGGCGTCGAGCTGGCGCTCTAACCTCCCGTAGTCGAAGTCGAGGAGCTGGTCGCTCCTAGGGACATGGGCCTCCGGTGCGTACAACTGCAGCTCCTCAAGCGCCTCGATGATTGCGTCAAGGTCGGTGGAGTGGAGAGGTTGGACAGTGGTGGGAGCTCGCGCCAACTCTCCCTCTATCATGACGATGAAGTCTAGGTCCCCGAAGCGCACGTGTGCGCCTGGGACACAGCTGATGTTGTGACTAGCCATCCGAGGCCTGGTGTGGATGTCGAGACACGCAAAAAGCCCCTACCTGGTGCGCCAACTGTCGGTGTTTCGAGTTACCACCAACTAGTAAATTTCTAGTATTACGTGTCTGGCTCGGATAGTATGCGTAGAGGACGCGAGGTTTATACTGGTTCGGACAGGATGTCCCTACATTTAGTTCATCACTGTTGCTCGTGTTACTAGCACTGAAAGTTTGCAGTAGGGGTTACAAACGGGTGAGAGAGGGACAGATCCCAAGTCTCTGATGGAAGGAATGAATGGGTGCCGAGAGCTCGGTTGCTGCTCAACCGTGTGCTTGTGTTGTGTTCTGATCGGTTCGAGGTTCGATGGGTTCGTGATGGTTCAATCAGATCTGGCCTAAATCGATCCAGTGGGTTCGGTCAGATTTTTCCCATGCCCCTCATGGGATGCCCTGCTTTACCTTTTATAGGCCAAGAGAAAGCACGGGTTACAGCGGAGGAAGAGAGGAGAACGAGAGAGAGAGAGAGAGAGAGAGAGAAGAAGAAGAAGAAGTCCTTCAGGATCGTTGGGTCCTTCTTCTCCTTCATGTGGGTCCCGCTGACCCTGTAGACATCAACAGGGACAGCTCCACATCGCAGTCCTGTCCGTCACTGGCGCCATGCGCAGGCGTCGTCTACCGGTCATGGCGCTCCACTCTGTCCTAGCGAACATCGTGGTGAACTGACACGCCTGTCAGTGTTCGTATAGGGGTTAGGCAGAACAACACCGGTACGCTCGATGTTGTTCCTAATGTGAATCCTCGGGTATGGCCCATCGTGGCCACGGGTTACATCAGGGCGCGCCGGTCTCTTCCTTGGCGTCAGAGTTTTGACCTAGGCCCATACACTTGGTCCTAGAGTGGTTGGCGGCGGTATGGGTCTCCGTCGGACGAGACGGAGCCCGCAACCTCAGGGTCGGGCGAGGCGGAGCGCAAACCCAAGGGTCGGGCGAGGGGAGCCCGTGGCCTCGGGGTCGGGCGAGGCGGAGCTCTCCCCCAGAGGCCGGGCGAGGTGGAGCGTGAACCCAAGGGTCGGGCGAGGCGGAGCCCTCCCCCAGAGGCCGGGCAAGGCGGAGCGCAAACCCAAGGGTCAGGCAAGGCGGAGCCCGCGGCCTCAGGGTCGGGCGAGGCAGAGCTCTCCCCCAGAGGCCGGGCGAGGCGGAGCGCGAACCCAGGGGTCGGACGAGGTGGATCCCGTGGCCTTGGGGTTGGGCGAGGTGGAGCGCGAACCCAAGGGTCGGGCGAGGCGGAGCCCTCCCCCAGAGGCCGGGCGAGGCGGAGCACGAACCCAAGGGTTGGGCAAGGCGGAGCCCGCGGCCTTGGAGTCGGGCGAGGCGGAGCCCACGACCTCGGGGTCGGGCGAGGTGGAGCTCTCCCCCAGAGGCCGGGCGAGGCGGAGCGCGAACCCAAGGGTCGAACGAGGCGAAGCCCGTGGCCTTGGGGTCAGGCGAGACGGAGTCCACGACCTCGGGGTCGGGCGAGGCGGAGCCCGTGGCCTCGTGGTCGGGCGAGGCGAAGTCAGCCCCTAGAGGTCGGGCGAGGCGGAGCGTGAACCCAAGGGTCGGGCGAGGTAGAGCCCGCGGCCTTAGGGTCGGGCGAGGCGGAGCCCACGACCTCGGGGTCGGGAGAGGCGGAGCCCGTGGCCTCGGGGTCGGACGAGGCGGAGCTCTCCCCCAGAGGCCGCGAACCAAAGGGTCGGGCGAGGCAGAGCCCGCGGCCTCGAGGTTGGGCGAGGCGAAGCCCGTGGCCTCAGGGTCGGGTGGGGCGGAGCCCTCCCCCAGAGGTCGGGCGAGGCGGAGTCCGCCCCTAGAGGTCAGGCGAGGCGGAGCTTGCGCGCCTGGGGTCAATTAGAGCTGTAGTCGCGCTCTTAACTGCTCGGATAAATCAATATTGATGATCACTAGCTCATCTTCGGATACCCTAGTATTGGCCCCTGACACCCTCAAAACTTATTATTGGAGGCCCACTTAAATAAATTGGACCCCAAAATTAATTTCGCCCACAGCGGGTACCTAATACATTGCCCCCAATACTGACACGTCATTAATTAGTTGGATCAGAGATCAGATTAGTTAGATCTTAGAATCTTTCCGTCCGCTCGTTCTGTTGGATCAGTGGAGATTGGGGCACACCGTCGGTTTGCACAAATGAGGGGCGCAGGTACAATTTTCCAGAGCCAGCAAATCTTGGGGGAGCTGTTGGACCGGTGGTTTTTCTCCTAATAACGCAATGTCATTTCAACCGAACAATTGTAACATTCATGGTAACAACAGCAATGTCACATAAGCATATAGTTGTACAGATATGTTTTACAGATTCTATTCTTCCAGGCCAGGTCTAGCAAACATAAAACGGACCAAGCCCACCATGACTTGCGGCAATTTAATGCACTCAGTGGAGCAATATTAACCAAACATATACATACCCTACACCTCCCTTGTGGGCGAAAAATTGTGAAGGCATGTGTCAAAACGCATATATCAAGATCATATATCAACATCACCTCCGGAGCTTGCCGAATCAGCATCACTACCATCGCTATCACTGCTGCTGCTCCCACTTCCACTGCCGCTCCCACTTCCGCTGCTGCTGCTACTGCTGCTCCCACTAGAGCTTGAGCTGTCCTGCTCCTCCTGCTGCCCCTCTGCGTTCACTTGAGCTCGAAGCGCATCAGCTGCATTGAGCCCCTCATCTGCCTCATCATTTACATCTACATCAGCAATTTCATGATCCATATCGTCTTGATTTGGCAAGTTGATGTCAAAACCACGAAGACATGCCCCTTGTCCTGAGGCCAAGTTATTCGGTGAAGCATTGCCATCATCATCACCAAGTATGTCAAGGTTCTCTTGCTCATTTGGATCAGGTGAAAGGGCAAATGGGTCGATGGTAACAGGTTGATATGTACTCCTGTTGTTGTATTTCGGGCCTGCAAAACATGAGAGCAATGAGAACAGATTATGTATAATTTAGACAACACTGTAACCTCTGAACAACAAAACATAATTATCTTTCTCATTAACCCATTTTTATTAGATAACAATCTATGTGTCTAGAATGCAAAATAAGTCAAGGAAAACTCACCACACCAGTCTTGCTTGACACTCATATAAAACTATATCCACCATTCTTTCATCTCTAAGTTATTGCCCTGTCTCTTTGAAACATGAAGTGAAAGTATTTAACGATGGTATTAAGGGGATGCATGGCACCTGTGCATTGTTGAATAACATGTATTTGGAGACCTAATGTCGTTTTCTATCTTTGTAGATAGTGTGGAAAATGAAGGTAAAAAAAGAGCAACTACAGACATTTCCACCATCACTAGTTACCAAAATTGAAATTCTAACTTCTTTCTTCTCCTTAGTTCAGCACATTTGGCAGAGTTCAAAATTTTCTCCCTGCTAATAGAATCCTACAACAATTAATGGAAACCAACTTTCACGAAACAAAACAAAATGGGAAAATAACAATTAACAAAACTAATCAACCCATCAATATTATGGAAACTAATTGATATCAATACATGTCCAGTTTCCTTGCCACTAGTGTGTGCCTATCACAATGCAGGAGAGTTGTGTCATAGGGAAAAATAGTACAAGAGAGGCCCTTCCTTAACATACCCAACACACATCCAATACAAGAAAAAGAAAAACTTACAGACTCGTTCATCTATCGGATGCACTTATTATTCTCATAATTTTCGAACAAGTAAATAATTGGTTGACACCTCTCTAATACTTTTTTGACACCCTAAAACTATCACCCATTCACCCTTATTGTACTAGTCAAGACCTCCTCTCTAGGTCACTTCCACTTGCTCCCTCCTTATCTCTCTTCTATACCGAACTTTGAGGAAAGGGGACGGTTGACAAAGTGAGCCCCCACGCTGCTTACCAAGCACCTGCAACTGCAGGTGAGATGGCTCCATGGCCATGTGATGATGACTTAAATGACTTCCCTTCCCCCATTTTATAATGTGAGTGATACTCCTATACATGGCGTATTGGAGTATTGCGTATCACGTATAAATATCAGGGTGTCCTGGCAAGATGTATTAATGTATGGAAACATCCCTAGCCAAACTACCATGTTCCTTCTCTACGCATCCCACGGTGTTACACATCCAGTAAACAGTTAACCCAACTCATTCTCAAACTGTAGCATAGGTGTGGCCACAATCTCTATCCTGGTATAGGATTAATTTCACACAGAACTTACCTGGATTTTCTGGTTCACCAATGTCAATACGCTCAACCTCAACCTGCAGAGTCAGAGTCAGAATCAGAATCAGAAGTATGATTTACTCAAACATCAAAATTTGAATTGAGAGTTTGAAACTATATAAGATCACATCATGATGGTGGAAAAGTTCTGTATAACGCAATGTGAGTATATCAAAATATTCATATGTTAACAAATTTAACTCAACATACAGTTTCATCCCATACATGCCAAAGCAAATTAGAAATGATATAAGAAGCTTTTATATTAAAAAAAAAGCAGACGCCCAAAAATTAAAACAGCTTGGTATCATGATTGAAACAATGTATAGAAGATTTGCATTGGAGAATTTGTTTCCATCTCCATCTTCTAAATCCCAACACAAGGCCACATTCCCTTTTGATGATGAAGTTAGAGCTGCATACTCAGCAGTATCAGCTGCCATGGTTCAGCCTTCAGAATTATGGACACAGTTTGAAAGAAAAATAATGTTATGGGCCATTATTCAAAGATTTCACATTCAGTGACCAAGTGCATACGTAATGGTCCTGAAAAATGGTCACAACGAGAGGTTTTCACAAGTAGCAAATTAAGTTTCACATGCCAACCAGAAATAAGGTTTCCACAAAAAAAAAAAAAAAAAAAGGTAGCTCAACACAGTCATTTATTAACGGCGTGGCGGAGGCCTCCTGGCTCCGCCAGCTTCTTGCCGAGCTCCACAGTCCCCTCTCCCGGAGCACGCTTGTTTACTGCGACAACGTCAGTGCGGTGTACCTCTCCACCAACCCTGTTCAGCACCAGCGGACCAAGCATGTGGAGATCGACCTTCACTTTGTCCGCGATCGGGTCGCCATCGGCGATGTTCGGGTCCTCCACGTCCCGACCACCTCCCAGTTTGCCGACATCTTCACCAAGGGCCTCCCGTCCTCCACATTCTCCGAGTTTCGCTCCAGCCTCAACATCACCGGTGGCTAGTTGCGTCTGTGGGGGGGCTCGTGTGTGTTCTTCTTTTCATGTCCAGTCTGCAACTCCGCTGCGCCGGTAGTTCAGACTGCGGGGGGGTGTTGGAGTATGTGTGTATTAAGGCCCATATATGGCCCATGTATGACTCCAACATAGCTACCCTTCTAGGGTTAGCCCAATAGTAAGGAATCACAATTCTATCAATGACAAACCATTATCTAAGGCATAAAAGTAGTAACAGAACTCACTGGAACTGAGTGAACAGCAGGTTTGCTCATGGTCTGTGACTTGATGACTTTAGGTAATGGAGTAGACTGTGATTCTGCACCCATTCCAGTAGTTGTAGCTGCCAAATTAACTGCTGCAGACTCTCCTGGAACTCGGACATGCCTTAACCCCTTGACAGCCCTATGCAACCTCTCTAGGCGAAAGGTCTCACCATCAAAAAATAAGACACCAAGGTCCCGGGTTCGAGTCGCGGTCTCCTCGCATTGCACAGGCGAGGGTAAGGCTTGCCACTGACACCCTTCCCCAGACCCCGCACTGGATACGCCCATTATCCTTGTACTCTTCTTGGCTTCCCTCAAATGTCACCTTTGGCTTGCCAGGCTGATTATTATGGAATTCCACAGTAACCCGGTTATCTTTGGTACTCTGCAGAGACCCAGCTTGAGTCTTGTCAATTGATGCTGGCTTAAATTCATCTGTCACATCAAAGGTAATAAAAACTATTTATTGTTGACCCTGATTTTTTTTATTTACAACATAGAGAAATGGCATGAGCTTTTACATATCGCAATAATACAAAGGAAGGCTGCCAGATGATATCAGAAAACTAGCTTTGGTTGATCCCTAGTATTATGCCACCGATAACCTTTGCAGTAGAGATCTCAGCCTACCATCCATGTCAATGAATAACAAAGGTAGCCATATTTTTCTTAACAACTAATTAATGACCAGAAAGAAGATCCAAGTGGCTTATAATGCCACACAGGCATTAAACAATGGTTGCTACACTGATAAACATGACAAGGGAATATGATCAAGCAACCTTGAGGTTTCAACCCAGGCAAGAAACCAACTTACTGCAGAGGATACCATGGAGGGGATGACAGCTATACTAGAGACTGAAAGGGGCTGGAGTCCTTTGAGTTCTGGGGTGAAGATGCCAGATTTTGAGGAAACTTGTATGTGATGATGGAGAGGGTGCAGAAAGGCAAGTGGATTTTTCTCTTGAGTTTTGATAATGTCCATAAGAAAAATGAGATGATTAAGAAGATTAAAACAAGCACGCTGAAGAGATGCCCCACCTCCAGTGATGTCTACAGCAAGTACAAGGTCTCCAGGGAATGGGACTCATGTTCCTCTAAGAGCTGAGAACAGATGGGCTGCACTGAACCAAGAAGGTACTTCTACCAATCCTTTCATAGTACTAGTCTTTAGAGTTTAGATAATATTGTTTTAGCGGTCGCTATACAATGTGATGTAATGTTGGGTGACACTAATGATGAAATACAACCAACTGTAGAGATAGCAGCAAAAGGCAAACAAGGTAAGAGTAACTCAGAGATAAACAAGTTAAGACAGTTATGAGGAACATGAACACAATGAAGAACATGAGAAGATTGGTGAGATGTTGATAAGGAACACAATATCCCACCAACAGCAAAGCTTGCACAAAAATTAAGGACCATCATTCAAAGGAGGCCGAATTGCACTAAAAATAGATGGCCCTTTTCAGTCACTTGTAGCTGTAGCGCCCAACGTTCAACGCTTATATTGTTCTCCAATACCAAGTACATTTAAGCACTGAGGGCTTAACATGTGTGACAAACCAAACTGCTAACATCCAACCAATACAGTGCACTCCTACATAACACCCCAAGCAAAATCCACACAGTGTATGAATGGTGAAACTTCTGATGGACAAGTACAATTTTAGAGGACAGATCACAACACGCAGGCTGCCCTCAAAGATGACCAGCACAAAACATAAGCTCCATCCTAGTTCAAGGTGACTCCATGTGTTTCCTGTCTTCCCTCTCCATGCTCCTGTTGATGGAAGTGTAGCGCCGCATCCTTCAGAGCTTTAGCACCTGTTCTGAGGTACCAGCTGTTGATTGGTTTTGTTTTGTTGAATGTATCTTTGTTTGGTTGATAAAGAGGCATATGATGTATCTCCAAATTATGATCATCTGATAACAGTAGTCAATAGGTCTTCAAAAAAATGACCCAGTTTTAGATTTAGTGTACATAATAATGTATTAATGTCATGGTAGGTTTGTGTGTACTATGGCCAGATATTGTAGAATTAGACCATTATTGCACAATTTTTTATGTCAAACTGCTTTTTAACATGGAACTTTCTCCGTTCAGTACTTCAGTTTTAGCTTGTGAGCTAATCTTTTAGTATCTATCAGTAGCTGTTGGTAAAATCAGTCAGATATTTCGTGTAATTTCGTTGCTGTGGAGTAATGAAATTCAGGTTTTACCATGGTGCAAAATAATTAAACGCCAGGAATCCTGAGCCCTGAGTCAAAGAACCCTACCTCCTATGGTGCTAACTAGCGCTCGTCAATTCGCTGATGCGGATCCCAGGCTACGGCGCCGCAGGTTGGGTACCGAAAAAAAAAGGGAGTGGAAGCAAGGGGACGAAGGGCTTACAGCGGAGGGTGCAGAACTTGGCGGTGGGGGAGGGGTCACGGCAGGAGGAGCCCAGGCGGAGGTCGTACCACCGGTTCGCCTGCGGCGCCGTGCTTGGCTCCCCGTTGCTGCTGCCGCTCGCCATCCTGCGCTGTGAGCCGAGCCCCTCGCCGGCAGCGGCGATCGGTTCTTCTATTCGATTCAGCGGAGGGGATCGGCGAAGGGCGACGGAGGGGCGCTCGGGCTCGGCGGAGGCGGAGCCGCGGAGGGAGGCGTCGGGGGCTGCAGGCCTGAGGGGCCGAGCCGCGAGGTGTTTGGATGCTATGGGCTAGACGTGTTCGTAGGCCACCCAACCAACCGGACCCGATTCTGTCAGGAAAAAACTGATCCACCAGTAGTCCAGTAGGTCGAGTTCAGTCCGTAATTTTTTACTCGTGGCCTGACCCATAACCATAAATCCAAAGTAATTATAGCTGATATAAAAACCCAGCCGCACCCATTGGATCATCTCACGTCAACAATCTCAACCATGAGAGTTTCAAAAAAAAAAATCTCAACCATGAGTGTACGGATGCTCATAGGTCTTTTTGGTACTGTTATTAATTCTACCGTGGAGTAGCTCATAAAAAAAATAAAACTTTTTATAGTACCCATTAAGTGCTTCTAGGAGAGTAGCTAAAAAAAGAGCAAAACAAGTCCTAAATTCTGGCCCCTCCAGCTTAGCAATCCAATTCTGGCCCCTTTACAGGATCTTGAATGAAAAGAATAGATCCATTGCTGAGCTTTGGGATGGCCAAGAATTGAAATGCACTTTTAGAAGAAATGTTAGTGAAGAGCTTTATCAAGTGTGGTTGGATGTAGTAGAACTAGTTTCTACTATCAGGTTGATTGATGATGAAGATGAGATGGTTTGGCTTTTTAACTCTTCTGGGGTTTACTCTTCACAGTCCCTCTATAAAGTCATTAACTTTAGAGGCATAAAAACAGTGCATGTTCCTGCTCTTTGGCATATTAAGATTCCACCCAGAGTACACTTTTTTCTTTGGCAATTGATTAATAATAAAGTTTTGACTAGAGATAATCTAGCTAAGAGAAGGAAGGTGGAGGATCCTAGTTGCCTTTTCTGTTCAGAACCTGAGTCTGTACAGCATCTGTTTTTTGATTGTGTTGTTGCTGCCCAGTGTTGGAAGGTCATTTCTGACGCTATTGGCACTACAGTAGGCTTTGATTTAGCTACCATAGGTCAATACTGGCTTAGTAATAAAAGGCACTGTGTTTTGAATATTGTTACTTCTGCTATGTTCTGGAGTCTTTGGAAACTCAGGAATGAGATTCTTTTTCAGAATATTGGCTGGACATACTTCTCTACAAGATAGCTGGTCTCTTACAAAGCTGGGAGATTCTCTGCCCTTTGGAGAAGGACTTGCTGAAGCTTATTGTGAAGAAAATCAAGGAGGTTCCCAAGATGACTTTCTGTCTACCGGAAGCCGGTGCCTGAAGATTCCCAGAAGAACTTAACCAAGATGATTGCTCGTCCATTCTCTGTTGATGAGAGATCTACGAGTTCGGATTCCTGGTCTCTTGGAGGCCTAGCATCCTCGATGGGAGATGATGTCTGAAAAAAAGAAGCTCGAAGACTGCGGTCTATGTGTTGCCGATGTATCTAGTCCTCTGGCTTTTTTGTAGCGCCTTCTGGAACTGTGTTTTTGCAACACCGGCTGGTGAGTTTGGAACAGCTTTTACCTGCGCTGTAAACTGATATTTGGTCTTTTGGCTATTAATTGGAAGGCCGGGGCGTTTTGGCCCTCAAACTCAAAAAAAAACAAGTCCTAAATTTTGTTATAATTCTAGCGTAACTCTCAACTGGCCATTAAATGCTGCCATGAATGTTCAATGGAACACTTACGCCTTGTTTAGTTGGACCCCAAAGTCCAAAAAGTTGCTACAGTACCTGTCACATTGAATGTTTACGGTCCATGCATAGAGCATTAAATATAGACAAAAATAAAAACTAATTGCATAGTTTGATGAGAAATTACGAGACGAACGTTTTAAGCCTAATTAGTCCATGTTTGAACACTATTTGCCAAATAAAAACGAACGTGCTACAGTAGCCCCAAAATCCAAATTCACCCAACTAAACAAGGGCTTAATACAGTTGGAATGACATCATTAATTTGTCACCAACAGAAATCCAGACATTACATTTATCAGCTGATGAGAATCATAGAGCTCATCGTTCTTTTCATGACAAAAAGAGACAAAAACCAACAACGACTAGGGGAGAAAGCACCACAAAAGGGCAATGAAACCACATACACATGATAGCTAACAAATCTAATATAGCACGAATAAAGAACATGTGATAGTTATACTACTAACAGAGGACTTCATTTTGAGTCCCGTCTAACTTCAATGTTCATCACAAAAGAATACTTTAGCTGGTTTCTATTGGCTGATCTTGCATCCATGAATGTACGGGTGCTCATAATTGATATACTTTGTCCAGTAAGGCCGATACTTTGTCATTGCGATTTCCAGCCACGGCTTCATGTTACCATTGTAGTGGATGACCGCAGCATTGTCTATTTCTGAGCGCTCAATGGTTGGATTGTACCCTAAGCCAAGCACATGCCATGATTTGTCCAGAGGGTATGTCAGCTTGTAGAAAGTTAGAAGCCCTGGCGGCAATGTCCCCAATTTCCAGAGCAGCCTGTTCTCGTTCTGTACAAAGAGAACAGAAAACAGTGTGAAAATGGAGTTTAGCAAATGTATGCACTGATAAGTACTCCCTCCATTCCAAATTATGAGTCGTTTTGACTTTTTTGGTTCATTCATTTTGCTATGTATCTAGACATAATATTACATCTAGATGCATAGCAAAATGGATGTACCAAAAAAGTCAAAGCGACTTATAATTTGGAACGGAGGGAATACATCTCAGGCAGTGCATTTATGTTTCAACTAGCACTTAACTCTTTTTAATGATCAAACATAGTTTAAATTAACTAATTAAGAGAGTTGTGATAACCAAAAATTGGTATTATGAACATTAATTAAGGACTCCAATGCAATCATACTAAAAGATAATTATTTAGCATTTGCTACATCTATACTGTATACAGTATAGTCATATATGCATAAAAATGAACAAAATCACAATATCTGAAAAGTCTGAAGCACCAGAATACATATCAGATGGTTGGGACTCGGGTAGGAACACAAAATGCAATATTCTAAAGAAAAGCAGGTGTCAGGATGCAAGTAATGTAAAATCTTATTTCCATCTCACCATGTTCTGCCATTTGTGGTAAATCCCAGTAATGTCTTTCTTCTTCCATTCTTCCAGATCAAACATGTTCATTCCATAAGCCCAACCACATGCATTAGGATCAAAATTCTCTGAAATATTTGGGTTTGAAAAATTGAGGTACTTGTCAAATCGATGAAAACTCTCTCCACATGTTTCCACCGCTCCATTTACATTACCATTAAGGTCAACCTCCCAGAGTCCAGTTAGGTCCCTCTGGACAACTATGTCATCGTCCAGGAAAAGAATTTTATTCAGCTTGGGATAGACTTGGGGGAGGTAAAATCTTAAATGATTAAGCATGGACAAATATTTTGGGTTTCGATACTTCAGATTAGAAGAGCCAGAAGAGAGTGTTTTCGGACGATCAGCCTTGAAATAGTATTCTCTCATGGCTGCAGACAAAAGCTGCTTCAGAACAGGGCAGTAAGAAGAGTTTAACCATTTGAAGTCATCAACATTTTCCACATGGATTGTTGCATCCCCAGGTGGATTCAGCAAAAACCACATGTTCATGGCCCCAAAGTTCAGCTTGTCAGTAACAAGATGAAATACATGTTTTTCAGGCTCCTGCAAATTTATAGCAAGAAAATCAAGAGTGCTATATAATTGGTCATTCAATGGTACACACAATGAAGAGATTACACTTCCAGCTTGAAGATAGTATTACACTAACCTTTGCATTCATGATGGTTGAGTTGACCACAACTGATGCTGCCAAAACATTGTCTGAGAAAAGAGCATAATGGTAAAGATCAGGATTTTCCAAGTTCTCACTATTGGGGAACTTTCTTTTCTCTGGAGAGAGAAGGTAATAATCAATCGTTAAGCGCATGGAAAGACAATGGATGCCATTTGGGATTGTCTTGGCTGCCAGCTGGCTAAGGAAGGTGCTCTGCTTCTTCAAGCTCCGGACCTGCTCATCTGCTGACTGAAGCATTGCTCTCAAACGCTCGGTAATTTCCTTGCAATCGTACAATAGATCCCTTGCTTTTGATAAAACTTGGCCCATTGCTTTGATTCTATCCGAAGCACTGCAAATTATAGAAGAGATAAATCAGTAGAGAAAGAGAAAATAGTATCACTGAAAATTAGGCCCAAAAACAGTTCGAGCAGGCACCACCTCTTGGGAAGTTCGGCATCAGCAGTAGCTTCCCCAAGGGAGCGCTGACTTTCCTTGAGCCTTGCAAGCAGCTCCTGATAGAGATCAAGCTTGTCTCTCGATTTGGCAAGAACAGAATATATTCTGGCCATGATCATTTGATCTCGCATCAGCCTAACCCTTGAATCTGCCTTCTCATTTTCATTTTCACGTCTCCAGATGCTGTATTTTCCCAGCACAGCAGAATCAACAGCTTTTGAGCGTTCGATGCCTGCGTTCTCAAGTTTAACTAATGCTTCATCATCCTGCTGCACTACCTCCATTTTCTTCCTTACACCAATTCTCCCCCTTAATTTCTACAATTAGGAAATATCAAAATGGTCAGGATAAGGTGAAACAAGATTACATCTTAGAACAGCTGTAAGCCATGGAAAAAATGACATAAGCAGAATGTTAAGCACTTTGGGAATGAAACAAGCGCAGTTTAAATCATCCCTACATATATATACTGCAGTTTACAAGGATAAGTAGTTAAGACAGCGGGGGATTACCCTGTGTGTTATTTCCTCGGATCTGCCCAGGAGATGAGGGCCATCTACATTAACAATTAAAGTTCCCAAGTCAAATGAGTGTGATGCAGTCACGTATAAGAAATATATGGTATTAATACTCAGTTACCCACCCTTTCGACTCAAGGAGATATTCTGCAATTCAAAGTTGGGTTGCCTACTCC